TTTTTTTTCCGGATTACCTCATCCGGGATTTACCTTCATCTAGGATGAAGGATCAAGGCAAAGGGTACTAACTAATGTGTAACAGATTATTTAATACCATCCTGATGAAATGCCTTTCTTGGATGGAAATGGAGACTGCTGGTTTTGTGTTTCCTGGGCTGTGGGTCTGTACCCCTGTGACAGCACAGGTCTAGGTAGCAGCAGTCAGCTGTTTGTCCCCTCACCCATGGGGACAGGAGGCAAAATAGGCTGCAATTACTAGCAGCAAATGTTTACTCAGAGGGCTGCTAACTAACTTTAATTGTTGGTATCCACTCACTTCCTTCAAGGTAGAGGGAGCATAAACACTTACAGTCTGTAATTACAGGCACTTGTCACTCCAGTGCTCTGGAGTATTAGACCTGAAGGATGCCGTGGAAAAAAATGAGCCACGTGTTGGTTGCAGGAATCATTCCAAAATCAATCTGTTTTACTTGGTGGTGTGTAGAATGGTCAAAAATACTATGCAGCTAGTCTGTAAGAAACATGCTGAGTTGCAGTATTTACAACTTTTGAGAATTAACAGTGCCTGCTTGGCCTGAGATGTTTCAGAGAACTTTACAGAATTTGTCTAGAAACTTTTGTTGCAGGAAGGCTCTGACCATGCTTTTGTGAGTATCTGTCCATATGCCTCCTGTATCCTCTCTGTGGATCCTCTTACGGAGATTCTGTAGGTCACTTATTACCTCTTCCTCCCTTCTCTCTTGCCCATCCCTTCCTTAAGAAGGCTAAATAGCTGCTTACTAAGTAGCCTTAGTAAGAATAAACAGTCAGGAATTCAGTAGGTTCTGAATGGTTTCCTCCTTAGCCGCCTCTGCCTCCAACTTGCAGCACTTGAAGCTTGTATTCTAAGAAAAAGAACAAATTTTACAGAACAAATGAGCAAATGACAAATTGAGAAGAATATGAAATGAGCTTGTGTTCAAGGGGAACATTGTTGGAAAAACTGAAAAGAATGGAAATTAACCTTCAAAGTGTTCATGCCTGTACGAAGTTACCTGGATTTCTAGTGGTAGATTTACTTCATGTTCTGTCTAAATCTGGGGGTTTCAGTGTTGTTTTTGACTGCAGATGTGAAAGTCAGGGGAAACAAACACCTTGCTACAGCAACGGCCACAAGTTCATAGCCATCTTCACCAGTGCTTTTCAGCTGGAAGAGCAGTACTGGCAGTTTAATAGCTCGGTCTTGCTCAGGGAGCCCTGATCTTCCTGCTTCCCTGCTGTGCAGCTTTGGCCTGTGCCACGAGAAGGGAGCTAATAGTTCTGTGTGTGACTAGATGTGTGTTAGTACCTGGACTTGGGCATCTAGCTGTCTGCACCTTTCGATTTAAGGAGTTCTAATGAAGTTATTCCAAAAAGGTAATATTAATAATGTTGACTCCTAGGAAGGAGTCACTAAGAAGTGTATTCAGGACTCTCAGCTTTATATATTGGTCTCACTCTTCAGATAATTGCAATAGAGTGACAGTGATAGTTGGTTCTGGCTCAGTTTTCAACAGGAATGACAGACACTTTTGAACAAAGGGCTGAGGTGTAGCTGAACCTGTGCTGAGGCAATGCTGTGGAAGAGGATCCTTTCAATTCTTTGCAGGTGTTTCAAATGAAACTCTAGTACTTTGTGTGCAGTGACTTATAGCCTAATTACCTCTAGATATACTTTGGGTGTGTTTTGTGTTCAGATATTTTTGTTTGAATTACATCTTTGCATCATTAGCATGAGGCCACTGAAGTTTGGAACTTTTCCAACTAGTGGTTTCTTACCAAGCTGAACAGCTGTACCTCCTGCTAGTACCAGACTTGACACTTTTTGCATTTCCAAAGAAAGATAATCTTTAGATAAAGTGAAGTAAATGAACATATTTCCTGTATTGAGATATTTGCTTTATTGTGTCTTTCTGAATCTGGGTTAACGGGTTCGCAAGCACGACAACCACGCAATTTGATTTTAAAATATAACCATAAGAGTTTACAGTAAGAATGGGAATGGAGTCTCATGTAGGCTCTGATCTTGTAATCACATTTATGGAAGTGGATCACTTAGATGATTTATGTGTAGGAACTTAGAGTAGCGTAAATTCTAAATCTTCATTGTTGGGTCAGACTGCAGATCAGGATCAAAGTCTTTTAACAGTGATGCTGGAGAAGGTGTTCTACAGAGTTCTGAAGTAGCATCACAAACTAGTTTTATCTTTTCATTTTGGGGAAATGACAGTGAAAGCCTGATTTAAGAATGAGAACAGAGATGAACTTGCTTTCTAAATATTCTAGGATTATTGAGATGATGATGACACAGGAGCAGCTTATCTGTTCCAAAACAGACAACTTTTTGAAATTTTCAGAGAAAATGATAACATATTTTTTTCTGAAGATTTATTTGCTGTTTGATACAGTGCAGTTATTTAAAATGTTAGGGATCTTTGGCTAGAAGTCACTGATGAGAAAACAAGCTAGCTAAGTTTGATGCTTTTTAGAATGCAGCTCTTCGAACTCCATGCCCTAGCACGTTAGCAAATCTGCTTCTCAGAAAACCACATGGCTATTAGTAATCTAAAGCCTAAAGCGAGTAAGTGGCAGAAAGCTCTGTGTTTGTATTTAGTGAGTTTGCAGAAATAGTCTTCCCAATCATTTTTTTAATAGCATTTGGATTAAAAGTAGAAATAACGAGCAGTTTGTTTTTAACTATTTTGAGAACAGATCTGAATTATTAGGTGTACTACCCATGCAACAGATAAAAATGTTTACTGACTAACCACAAAAGAAGCAGTGCTGCAATGTCTCTTCTTCAAACTAGTAATCTGTGATTTGCCTAATTTATTCTGAACTTTTTTTTCCTTTTGGTTTTTAATGTGGTGAGGCAATTAAATTGCAATTCAGATAAAAAGGTTGTCATGTTGGTTGAGAGATTTGTGTGATTAGCAAGGGGAGAAATACTATAGGTAAATGTTGCCCTCAGCCTGTTCTCGCTTTGAAAATAAAACCTTTCTTTTAATAAAACCTGAGAAGCTTTTACTTTAATTGTTCTCTGCAATATTAAATGGTTACCTTCATTATCAGTACTTGTAAAATTGCTTGTTCAGGAAGGCTTGAGAAAATAATTTCCCTGAAGAGACACCAATGTATCAAATGCAAATTAAAAAGAAAAATCATTCAGTATTGTAGATAGCAAGCAGGAAAAAAGCTTGGCAATTCAACCATATTTCTTCTGCTATTTTGGAGTATTGATTTTGGGAGAATGGAGGCCAAGAATTTCCAAAAGTGTTTGCGGGCTGCTTATGCTTAGACGCACATTGACAAAACTCTTAGTTTTCAGAAACATGCAGATTAGTAGGTTAATAGCTCTGGTATCCGGAGAGTGGAAAAAGTAGTAAATTGTAGGGGGTTTTTGTTATTGTTGTTGTTTTCATGTTGTAATCATGAAAACCTTTAATCTTAACTGAAACTCCCAAAGACTAAAAGAATGGAGGAATATGTGGCTTGTTTTGATTTTCTTCACCATGTTCTCCCTTCAGGGAGCGAATGCACCTTAATATGAGCTTTACTTTTGTTTATAGTGCCTAGAAAACTTGATATTCTGAAATTAAATCTATAAAGTGACTTTTTAATTTAAAAAAGTTGTATTTATTTTTGCCTTTGATTACAAATGCAGGCAAATCTAGTCTTCCTTGTCTTTCCTTGCACCCTTCCCTTAGTGTTTTTCAGGTGGAAGAAGAGGGAGCAGAGAGGTAGGATAGTTTTGCTCACGTTTGTCCTCTCTCGTGTAATGCTATTCTTTACTCTGTTCTCACTTTCTGCTTTCATATTTAAGGCTGCTTTGAAAGTATGAGCTGACTCAAGGATATTTTCTTTCTTTACAGTGATGCTGGGAATAGTAGCTTTATTTTCTTTAGATGTAAAATGTTAGATGAATTTATTTTTGTATGAACTTAACTTTAAATGTTGCCTTTTAAATTGGATTAGTTAAAATGTGTTTTTCTAAGTTGCCTATTGCTTGAGTGTATGATAAACTTTGTGTCCTGGCAGCAGCACATTTCTGCTGCTGCCCTTACTGAGCCTGTGCAATTGCTGCAGGTTCAACCTCATACAGAGAGCATCATATTTTGAAGCACCTTTTTTGACAAATAATTTAGATTGATAAAACACATTTATAAATAGATTTTTTGCAATTTCATGCATAGTTGACGACAAAATTGGTTTTCTGCTATGTTGAGAATTTTTAAGGAGCATCTGTCACTAAACTTCTCTTGATTTGGTATTTAGTAATTTATATATTGTGTGAGTAACAGATGCATATTCTGCTTGATTTGCTGTCTGTCTTTTAGGAAATAATTCAATCTTTGTGCAATAGAAATATGCTCCATACAGCTGGCAGTTTTAGAGATTTTTTTTTCCTGATATCACCTTTAAGTATTTAAATACACTGAAATATCTCTGTAGTAGGCACATAATACCTTGGCCATTAACACTGTGCTGTAAATAAACGCCTAGTTAGCTCAAGCTGATAACTAGTAAGGTTGCTGACTCTGTGACAGACATTATTGTCTTTTACTGCACGAGTTAATTTGAAACCTGATTAAGAAGGTCAAGGTTGCAGTATGGTTTATAAGGTACTAAGTAGCCTGTTAGCATGGGAGGAAAATTAACTGACCATAAGCTTTTGCAAAAGCAGTAGGGAAGAGTATAACAACACCCATGATCGCCCCTCTCCATGCTGCCCATGCTTTGCTGTCACGTTCTGTGGACTCACATATTTCAAATGATGCTTTTCATAACCAGCAAGAGTTTCAAGAAGGAGTTATGTCAGCACAGTTTGTCTTTTGCTAAAGTTTGAGAAACCTGAAGATGTTGAAAGTAACCAAAGGTGGTAGAAGCCCTTACTGCTGGCAGCAGGGAGCAGCTGCTGCTCTGGTCTGTCTTGACTCTAAACACTTAATGTTTTTTTTGTTGTTTGTTTAATGTTACAGATGACCATGGACGAGAAATATGTAAACAGCATTTGGGATCTCCTGAAAAATGCAATCCAAGAGATCCAGCGCAAGAACAATAGTGGTCTCAGTTTTGAGGAGCTATATAGGAACGCGTATACTATGGTGTTGCATAAACATGGAGAAAAACTCTATACTGGACTAAGAGAAGTGGTCACTGAGCATCTCATAAACAAGGTAGGTAATTTTAGGAATTAAAACTGAGGAATTAAAACTGAAGTCTTTTACTGGTACAGAAGAATTCTGTATGGTTATCTATTTGACAAAAATCTAGATTTGTTATATTTCCTTGTGTTGAAGTCATATTGCTGCCCTCAAAAATGCTCAGTTTAGAGCTAGATTCAAGCTTAAATAATTTGGAATTCCAGATACTGTTTGCTGTAAATCACTAATGGAAAGTGGACCATAAAAAGTATCTGAAAGTAGAATGGGAAATATCTTTAACTGAAACATTGCTGCTGAGATCTGGGATTTTTCAAAAAGATTTGTGGCCTTCTAGTGGCATATTGTGACTTTCTCGGGTAAAGTTTTGATTTGCATTCCAGTCGGTCATTTTTTTTCGTCTGTGGAACCACCGTAAAAACTTGTTTGTTATGGGCTAATGAACTAATTCACAATTTACTGAAAGAGTTGTGCTGGGATTACACTATTTAAAGAGGTGCTAGGCAGTGTGCAAAAGCATCAGCTCAGCAGCAACAAAAGTCCTGAGTAGTCTGCATTCTGTCATTTCAGCCTTTTCAAAACTGTGTAATTCAGTCCAAATTACATGCAGAAAGATTTCTGAAGAAACATTTGAGAAAAGGGCTCTTCCTGTCTCATGATAAATGATGGACCTGCACCTCTTTTGTCTTTAGGAGGAAAGTTTATTGTTGATGAATAAGTATATTATTTAAACAAAGTTAAACCTCATTATTTCTGAGTCCACATAATATTTAGAGATAACATGGTTGTAGATTCGGGGAAGATGCCTGCATTTAGTCCTTGCAGCAAAACCCCCATTCCAGCTGTCTTCAAGGAGAGATGAGTGTCTATGCTGGCTGTGGGTCCAAACTGAATGTCAGATTTTTGTGCTGTTATTACAAGTTTTGATTAGGAAAGTCATACACAATCATGTGTCTTGAATGATTACCTTGGCAGAATTACAGAGGATGGATGGGAGGTTTATGTAGAAATAACTTTTGCTCCTACTAAATGGAGTTACTACTGTTACTATGCAGAGAAAAGGGTATTACTGCTTTGGCACAATTTAAGAGATTTCTTTCTAAAATTCCTGATTTTAAGAGGGGTGGTCCAGGCAAGTGTAGTCCAAAAAATGCTTTGAATATGGGACTTTTTATTGTTTGCATGAGTGGAAATATCATATATGAAGTAGCTAAATAATTTATGGCTCTCTCGTATAATTGTAGCGCACCTGTATCTCTCAAGTACTTGTCTTGATAATATGTGCATTCATAATCTGTACTATTCATATAATATTGCCATATGTGGCAAATGATTGAGTCTTTCTGTGCCTTTCATATGCTTGTGTTTACAGCAATGTTTGATAATAATCAGGACTCTAGACTTTCAGATTTGATTAAAACTTTGAGATTTGAGCAAACTTTTCTGTTGCTATTCTGCTTATTTAAATTATCCATATACAAAATCCATTTTTGTGGGGCACTGGCTGTGTCAAATGGACAAAGAGCTGAAGATCCTCTGAGTTTGTCCTATCACTACAGTGGCCAAGAGGCTTTCACAGGTATTGATGTAGAGAAAATCTTTGTGACACTGAATGTTGTTTACCTGATGCTTTTAAAAACTGTTCTCTGATTCTCTGATCTTTAACTTTAATTATCAAAACGTATGTCTAGAAAGGATAAAAACGGATGACTAAAAGCTCAGAGAAAGTGCATAGGGTTGAAGTTTTTTAAATGAAAAGGCCTAATATTGAGTTTCTGTAGTTAAATACTATAAATGGCTAAGTTACTCAGATGTCTGGTTATGCATACCTGTAAGATAAGTCCTTCCAGGAGAAGGAGAAAAAAAAAGTGACTTCAAGTCCTGAAAACTAGGAAAACCAAAACAAAATGGTTTCTCTGGAATATTCTTAGATTCAAAGCTACTGTTTCTTTTTGGAGTTTCCTTAAGAATGTTGTGTTGGAGTAGATATAGCCAGAAGTGTGGGGAAAAAAAGTTTATTGTTTATTAAGAATAATATCAGTTCAGACACAATCATGAGGTGGCATTTCGTAAGTACTAATTGTAAGATAGATAAAACAATGTTACCTGTTTAACATCATGTTTTCTATACCAGAAAATTAATCTTCATTTTCAGTTGCTATTTCCAAGGGTAGTTCCCCTTGTTATTTACTACATATATTCTATTTACCGGTCTTTGCAAAGTTATATTCCAAGAACAAAGGGTGGATGCATGAGTTTGAAAAGGGAGAATTTTGCCAACTACAATGTTGTTCACTGAAATCCCTTAACTTTTGTCAAAATGAAAGTGTCAGAAATGATGAGTCGTTAGTAAAGGACACCAGGGCAGCGTTTCAGAGAAGCCAAACCCAAATTTTGGATATCTGGTATCCTTGAAACAGAACTGCCTTTTGCCATCAGCATCTGCTGGTTACCCTTCTGGAACCAAGTTAGATTCCTGCAGTGTTGCAGTCCAGCTCGCTAATCAAGAATAGATGTAGAGAATAGGTAGAGGCAGGCTATTTATTCAGATGTTTTCACAAATATTTGTTGAGTTTGGAATGTAAGAGGTTTTTTTTTTTTGGTGTGGCAGAGTCAAGAGCTGTATTTTTGTTTTATACCTGTTTAATTGCTAGTTGAAAGTCTTGCTCGCCCAGCATCTTTATCAGAAAGAAACTAAACACTTTAAAGTAGAAAATTATTTAACATCTAAACAAGAAAACTTAATACGACATGTTGCCTTTATAGTCTGTTTATTTGTAAATAAAGTGATAGGTGCATACGTGGTTGGTGTAAGTGCACAGGATATAAGCTCGCACGCAGCTGCTTGGTGGGGAAGCAGTAAACCAGGGAGCTTCCTCTGCAGCACTGGTAGAACGGGCTGTCCTGAGTTGTCTTGCATTTAGCACAGGATAAGGACGTGTTACACTTGTTTTGGTCTGTTGGGATTGTTATTAAAGCATAGTACAAGTAAAATCAAATTTAAAAATGGCATTGAGTACAAAGTGCTAAAGTCTTTTGCCTTAATTCAAGTATAAAGTGTCGTGACTTGAATTCTTTTGCACAGAGAGGGTTCCACAGGATCCGTGAGGCAGGGAGGCAGGAGCAGGTGTGTGTGTTGCCGCTCAGGGGACAGGCGCTCGGTGACCACGGGGCCGTGCTGCGAGCCCGGCGGGCACTGCGTGACCTGGAGCCCCGCAGCTTCATCTTCCTCTCTCCTCAAGGACTTGCAAATATCTTGAGAAGGTTTTACGTTATGTGGAGAGTGAAAGGGTGTGGGAAGCTGCCAGAAAGTCAGCACGAATCAGAATCCACAATATTTCCGTGGTTTTGGGTGTGTGGATCTTGATGTTATTTTATTTTTTCTCCTTTCGTGGAAAGGACAGCAGCTGTGGGGGTAAACAGATATTTCTAGTGAAGTGTTAGTAGGTTTGTAAAAGCAACAGATTTACTAAACTTTAAAATTAAGCTTTTCATGTATTATCTTTTAGACCATTTTAAAAGCTTTTTGTTTTTGTTATTTATTTGTTTTTTGTTTTCCTAGAAGGTGATTGAATTTTCTTCCTAGAAAAAAATTGTAATAAGTGTAGACCATTATTCAGAAGGTGCCTTGTCTCTTGCCTCTCCCCTCCAAAGGCTTGGGCTGGTCAGTTGCTAAGAGTGTTGGGAATTATGTGACTGATCCTGCTGCTGTGTCTGTGCAGATGCTGTAAGAAAGAAAATGCTGTGCCATAAATCTGCACTGGGTATACTTGACAGAGAATTATTTAAAGGAATTGAAAAATATATGGATGTACTATTCTCAAAGATGGGAGAGATGCTTGCTATGTTTCCTTCGTATTCAGGTCATATTCAGTGTAAAATAGGGGAGACAAAAGTCTTATACAAAATTTTATTCCTGCAAATATAAGAAGGCTGTATGTAAATTATGAACCTCGTAGTTTTTGTAGACTGCATATGGACAGTCCTAGTGGAGCTGGGTATGCCTGCAAACCCCCTGCATGCCTTCAAAGATAGGGGTGTAGGGATCTCTTCAAGCTCAGCTAATATAAAGTAACTTTCTGCTGATTAACATTTTCCAGACTGATTTTTTCTTAAGAGTTTGGAAGAGCAGAAACCATTTCTGAAAGCCTTCCTTCTTGACAGAAGAGAGCAAATATTCTTTCCCCCACACCACTGCAAGTCATTTTTTCCACCAAAGAGGCTTTAGTCATGCCATTTCATGGCTACAGTGTTTCGTGCATTACAATGTATTTTTTCAGTATACTGGTGGGTGAATATGGAGCATCCTCGTGTTCTGCGTCTGGAAGTTAAGCATTGTGTTTCTCAAAGGGTACTTCACTTTGCATGGCGACTCTATTTTCAATCTTCTAGCAGATTTTAGTAAGTGAAATAATTCTTGGTGCAGTGATGCTGATGGTTGCCCCGTGGTACAGGCTTGGGGAACGAAGGGTAAATGCTGGTCGCTGTCAGAAGGGCTGCAGTGGAGGAGCAGGGCTGAGTGTGCAGTGCAACCACCTCATGTGTTTCCCAAAAGCAAGAGGAGGTTGTGCAGCTCTGGGGGTAGCAGTTCTCAAGATGTCAGAAAACTCTAAGCAACCCATGACTATAGCTAGGGTCAGTCAGTGTTAGCAGGGAGGTGCCATGAAGCCGGATGGTTTGCGTGGTGTCATGTGGTGCTTCTTGCTTTGCCCATGTAAGTTAATGGAGTACGTGTAAGTAGCCTTCTGTACTGTGGAAATGATTTATTTTTATGCTGCCTTTGTCCAATAATACTCTAGTAACGGAGCGGTGTCCGTCAGCAGTTTGCAGTCAACATTGGTGTGGGTTGCTGCTGCTTGTTACGTGTGTTTTGTTTGCCTGCTTCAGTTCTTAGTACCCAGACACCTTGCCTCCTTCCATCCCATACACATTCCTGTTTATGCTACGATACAGATGATTTTCAGACAGACAAAAATTTCAAGACAGGGAAAATTGTATTAGCACGAGGATATGAGTTAGAGGTGTAATAATCACATGTCACTCTGACTGTACCAAACTATCGTCTTGGTTGCCCCCAGGAATTTGGGGAATGTGGGCAGTGTGACACTGATCCCATTTATTGCACTGGCATAGTCAAAATTAGTAGCTTGGCCTTATTAGAAGGACAGGAAAAAAAAAGAGCAGAAAGAGAGGGCATCTGCAGGGAAGTGCTCCTGACCTGGTTCTTACAAAATGGGGAAGTTGCATTTTAGGCAGCTGCCTTTTTTTTTTTTTTTTTTTTTTTTTCGGACCTTCAAAGGAAGGCAGAAAAGAACTTGTGAAGGTGACCAGCTTAAGTACAGCCAGGGTGCTGGCATCTAGTGTTGGGAATAAAATACACCTCCACAGGAAATACAAGTGCTGTATTTCTCGAGGGAAACAGAATGATTTTTGTGCAGAAAGATGGTTCTGGTGGGAGGTTGTCTGGCAGTGGAGTAGAGCCTGTGTGTTGGGATTATGTATGGTTGGTATCTCATTCATTGCATATTGAAGCCTGTCTCTGTCAGGTGAAGTTTTTGCAGAAGCTGTCGTCTGCTTTGGTGATGTGTTGAAAATAGTTGACAACAGAAGAAGTTTGGGCTGTGTCTTCTGTAAAAATCCTACTCAGTTCTTCATAGTATTGACAGGTAGCTGGAATAATGCTAGAAGCATTTTTTAAAGTCATCTTGTGAATTCATATTTTGAATTTTTGTACTAAATTATGGGACCAGAGTGGGTAAGCCAGCATGTGTATGGGACAGTAAGAGCCAGGATGTCTGTGTCAGCAGCTGCATGGGGTGGTGATGTAGCCACCGTGACCTGAGCGTTAGGCATCACAAATTAATGAGGCTGGATGACTAGCTTGCCAAAATACTTTGGATCACTGATGTGGGCAAGTTAAGTGGTCACAAGGTTTGCGTGATCATAAGAATAAATTGCTCCTGATTCTAACTGAAATAAAATCTTAGAAACAATTGGCTGGTTGTATTAATGTAGTCAGCGTCATGAAGAAAGGGATTTCTGTGTTAAGAAATGCAGTTGGAGTGTAGGACATTTAACTGTGGACTCTGTGCATTGTGAAAAGCTTGCAGTTAAATACTGTGGGTCATTCTGCACGTGCGTTGGTGGGCCGGGAGCCCGGCGGAGCGTTCCTGGACCCTCCCGTACCGCCTTGGCTCGAGCGCGTTGCCCCGCAGCCTCTGCGCACGCCTTGGCCGCCGCGGGCCGGTCCCTGCGCGCGGCCGGAGCTCGGCCATGCCGCTGGCACCTCGGGGTGCAGGAGATCCCTCCTGCTCCTGCCTCAAGCTGCTGCTTGTGCCTGATCCTCTTCAGCGCTGCTGTAGCCCAGGCGGCGGGGGAGCTGTGTGGGCAGCCCCAGCACAGTGCCAGCCCCGGCCCTGCAGACGGGGCACTGAAGACCACACAGATGCTCTGGCAGGTTCTTCCCAAAGAGAGGATGCCGGGGTTTTGCAGCGGTGTCCTTCCAGTGTACAGGAAACGCCTGAGAGGAGCATTTGGTTTAGCTTCCTAGCAAGTTGCTTGTATCGAAATGCAAGGGAAACTAAGGAAAATTTAGTAACAAATAAAAATGTGGTTCTAATTTTGTTAGTTTAGAAAAAAGCCCAACTTCACAACTACTGGTCTTCAACCTACTTGTCTATAAGGTAGCAGCTTCCAGTCTGTAACAGAAATTGTATAAAATGTTTGCCTATTAAACCATTTACCTACTTAGGTGAGGTTTCAGGTGCACGGTCAGATCACTTGGTGCGTAGCTCCAAGCCCCGCTGTGCAAGCAGAGTGTCGCAGAGCTGCAGCAGCTCCGAGCGCTGCCTGCCCAGACCTGCCGGCCTTGGGTGTTACCAACAGCCCTGGCCATCGGCACCTCCCAGCCCCGGCTAGAGCTGGGGATGCTGCTGCTAATATCATCCCCCCTTTGCAGGCCATTGACCTGCTTGCATTTGAAAGAGGGGCAGGAAACATTTCTTCAGACGCGCATTGAAAATTTTTATTTTTATTATTACTAGAAGAAATTCTAGCGTTTTATCTCGCGCGAAGAATTGTATTGTAATAGAATAGTGGGGGGAAAAAAAGCAAAGGCTATTTTTCAGAACTGTTGTTTGTTGCAATTTTATATTGTCTTGGTATGTTTTACTATATGTCATCATGACCAATTTTGTACCTGCACGTGTTCCCTGTATATGTTGCAGTGTGTAGTATTCACTAGCACTACCCAATGCTCTGAAAAGGTTTGTGTTAGTAAAGTTAAAATTTAATTGAAACATTACAGCGTAGGAAATTAAAACTTCAAGAAGTTATGTAAAATTATTTGTAACATTTGAGACTTCAGGTATTACTTTGAAATTTAATCTGTTTGGTTATTTTGTTCTGTGCGGTGTTTTGTTTTTGTTTTGTTTTTACTGGTGTAAAGCTGTGCTTTTTTTTCTGCTGAAGTAAAATGTGAAACACCTGGAAATTGTGAACTTGTGATATTCAGGGTAACAGAGGAGCAGTGTTTGAGTTTTGTTTTTATTTGTGTGTCTTTTTTAAGCAAAGCTTATGAATATTTAAATGATGTAGAAGAAAGTGATTTGGCTTCATGGCATTGTTTATTCTTGTGATAGGTGCGAGAAGATGTGCTAAACTCCTTGAACAACAACTTTCTACAAACACTAAACCAAGCCTGGAATGATCATCAGACAGCAATGGTGATGATTAGAGACATTCTGATGTATATGGTGGGTATTTGAGGATTCTGCTTTTTCGCATACTTAAGGTGATGCAGTTTTCATATGTGAACAAATGAGGTCGGGGAATGAAAAGCAAGATGTACTTAACATCCTGTGAGAAACAGTTACCTCAGACAGAGACTACTAAAAAACATATATGAGTGATGTGCTGACACCAAGTTATTTCTGAAAAAACACTTTTCTGCTGTCACTTATGGGCTGCTTTCAACAGCCAAAGAGGAATAAACAAATAATTACTTCAGTTTATGCAGTTTATTTTTCTATGACTGGGTGATCCACCTGAATAATTTCTTTAACTTGCCTTGAGCTATGACTTGTGACACTAAGATAGTGTCTTAAACCATCTTACTGTGTTTGCAACCTTCCACTGAAGTTGCTGTTATCCCTTGTTATGCAGTTACATGCATTCTGTCTCTGCAGTTATTACAGGTATGTAAGAAATGCCATTCTTATTTCAGCTTGCATCTTTATTGCTTCTGTCTTTGCCTTTAGCTCGGAAGATGCGTTTGAATTAACAGTGATTGAATTTTGAAATTCTTGAAAATAATCCTAGGGACAGGATTACTCACTATACATAGATGAGCATATAATCTTGGGTGGGATTGTTATAATTATAAAATATTTTTTTCTTTTTTTTTTTTCTTTTTTTGAGGAGAGGCCTCAGAGTATTATGCCTAAATTATATTATGTTTTAGATTAGTAGGTTAATGTTTAAAATCCAGAACCATATGCATGCTGGGAGGGTGCAGGAGAGTGCATTCTTGTGTACTATTCAAACAAAGTCTTAATTATAGGTAAAAAATATTTTGACTGCAAACAGATGTAGAAACAATAAAGAAAAAAAAAATCATGTAACTGGCTAACATGGTAATTTCCAGAGCTGAATCCTATCTAGTCTTGCTTATCGGTTAACTAGTTAATTTGATTAATTAGAATTGGACTTAGGAGAAGAACTCTAGTTAAAAACAAACAGCAGTCAAAAGCTCTTGCTTTTAATTTTAACATTTTTATTGGCTGAACATCTGAAGTTATTTAAATGCTACTTTATCTCTCAAGGAATAATTAAAATGTCAGAATAAGATCCTTGGGGACAACAGGTAATGCCTAATGGCCTTAAAAAGGTACACTTGACCTAGAAAGGAAGTGAGAATACATTACCCAATACATACACAGGGAGCGCTTATTTGTGTGTGCTGATCTTTTGATAAAATATCTTCAGTTATACTTAAGGATCTGAGTTCCTTCCCTTGACGAGAGGTTCTCTAATTTGTTTGTGGAGATCAAACACAAATCAGTTGTTTATATCAGGACAAATTAAATGAGAAATTTAGATGGGAATAATATCTGCAAGAATGGTTAATCATTAGAATAACTGAACTCAGCCAGTGGCGAACTTTCTGAGACATCAAAAGATGGAAATCAGAGCTTTCTAGGCGAGTAACTGTTACATTTTTAAGCAAAGACCGTTCAACATTTGGGTGCAGGAGGTTGGATGCTCCAAGATGCAGAAGTGGTCAGACTGAACAGTGCAGTGTTGTCTGCTGCCTCACAAAGTCAGTAAGTGGTTCATCCCTCCGATCCCTTTCCTGCAGAGAAAGTCGGTTCATAGCCCCTTTCTGCTGCAGTGTGTGGAGGATCAAGTAGCCCTGTCCTTGTCCTGTCTTATCTATTAGGCAGGAGCTCCTTACCCATTAATTTCACTGACATCAAACTATGGTTCCTTTGGTACCGGGAGGTAAATTTCATGATTGTGTCTTCTTGAATTCTAACGTGACTGTCTTAAGTTCTTGCTTCGGCTAAGCAATGTATGTCCTAGTCTAAACTGAGCTCTACCTGGTCTCATGCCGGTTCGTGTTCTCGCCTGATTTTGACCAGCAGCCGCACTATGATCTACCTAGTTCCTGCTTAATTTCTGGTCTGCTTTATAATGTAGTTCTAGTGTAAAATTTTGTGACCTCTAATTGCCCAGTAACTCCAGTTCTAGTCAGCTTGAGATATTTCAGTTTCCACAACTGTTCCAGATATGTGTGGCCCTACCCACTGTGTTTTGTCATCTGTATGAACTAACTCTGCTCCTTTTAGTTCACACATTTAGGCCACAATCATCAGTATCAGAATACATGTAATGACTCTCTGTAAATTCATGGAATGGTCTGCAGCCCTATATTAAGCAGTGAAGTCATCTACTACATTTGGTTGTATCCGAAATCCGGGCTCAGCTGTGTTTGCAGTGTCATACATATACCTATGATAGCTTTTTATTCAGGAACTGGATGCAGTGAGAGCAGAGGGGGTGCAGGTTTTTGGTGTCCCATGCAGTTTCTGTGTGTGTGTGTGTATACTTAGAATGGCTTATGGAAGGGATATTATACTGAATTTTGGCATCCCAAGTTCATTGTATGTATTATTTACATTAGCTACATTTAAAGCAATTGCAGTTGTGCTGGTGCAGTGATCACACCCCCAACTGCATTATAGGTGTGTGCTCAGTGCCAGAAAACCCTGCCAGAGATTCACGGGGACTCTTGAGAGTGCAGGTTTGCATTTTGAGGGAGGCAGAGCATCCCCTTCTGCTTGGGGCAGTGCACAGAGCTGATGTCTCGGTTTAGGCTAGTGCTGCACGGTCAGCCTGTGAGTTTGGAGCTCCTGGCAGAGGACTTGGTTGTTCGTGTGCACGTATGTAGGTGTAGGGAGACGTTATTTTACTCCTCAGAGCTGGGGTCAAAACGCTCGACACGTTTAGGAGTTTCCAAAGGCTGCATGTCACTGCAGTAGGCCCCCGTGAAGAGAAGGGGCAGAATGTAGCCTGGATGATGTGCAGCAGGCAGCTTGCTTTACCTGAGGTCAGGATGATTCTGCAGCATAAGCTGCGCTGTAGTTGTTGAGTAATTGGTGTCTGAAGCTCCACCTGCGTCTCCTGTGAGTAGCTCTTTACCACCTGCTGCTTCCCCATGGGAAGGGATTGCTGTTTCCTGGCCTCGGCTGCCAAACCTGTTCCCAGAGAGGGATTCCTCTTGCCAGGGTGTTTGTTTGGGAGAGCTTCCAGTCAATAATGAATTTAATCTGTTACCAGGGTAAGCAAATTAGTAATATCAGAAACCTTAATAGTGCTACCCTAATTTGGGTGCTGTAGAGTGGTCTGCCCTGTTAAAGAGGCACTGCTGCTGCACTGAGGAGAGTTTCTGGTTGGTGCAGCTCCTGTTTCCTGGCCTAATGGCTGTGGTTAGCACTGCCACAACAGAAACTGCGTGTGTGACTCATCGCCATGGGCTTTATCTGCCTTGATACCTGCTGCTGCCCTGCGCTTCACAGGCCTAAATATTCTTTAAATGTAATTTATGGGTGTGATGCAGCACATAAAATGATATTGATGGAATGAGTGGGGAAATTTATACTTTAGTTCAAACATTTACCTTTGTCCCATACAAAATTTCATGGGGTTTTTTTTGTTTTGTTTTTGTAACTATGTAAGTTCACAGAAAACTTCATTGCAATCAAATCTGATTAGGAGCAGAACATTTTTAACTTGTACATGCCTTGGGATGTTGTTATTAGTAAAGCAGTATTTTTAATAATTACCTGAACTGTTTTGTTTGAGAAATGGGCTATGCCCTGAAAATGAAAGAAAAAAAATTATCAAAGCTCATCTTAGAAATACTTTAACAAGTCCCAGTTCTTCTGTTCCTAATGCTGTTTAGCACCGCTAGATATTATGCAATAAGACACATTTGGTATCTGATACTAACTTTTTTGATAGTCTTGCTTTTTTAGGCAATTGATGAGCTGGAGAAATGAATAGAAAAGGAATTAATAATCAAAATGAAAACAGACTTTTTTTTTCGTAATTACTACCTGTATTAGGAACACGGATGGGATCTAATTAGGTTGTCTGGACTTTGCAAAGAGTAGATTTGTTCAACCTCCCGTGCACTAAGAAGTTAACTTAGAGGAAGAAGTGTTTCTGTGAACAGTGGTAGGAAAGAAGCTCCCCATTAAGGAACAAAGCGGGGCCAAAGGAGGGGGATTGGGTGGGTAAGAAATACCTCTTTGGGATTATGCAGTGAGCTTTCTCTGTACCTGGGGGTTCCTCCTGCCCCTGACTAAAAGGAGTGAAAGGTGTGGGTTTATTCTGGCATCCTTCTAGTCATACACAAATCTGGAGCTAACACTTACTAATCAGTATAGGCTTACCGTGTAAATGCAGATTGTTTGTTCGTTTGGGTATTTTTGGGAGGGGAAAGGAGGAATTTAATGAAGCTGTATTAGTTTCATGAAGCTTTTTCAATTTGAATGAAAATGAATTTTATCTGGTTCAGCTGAATTTCTTACGTACAATGAATTTTAGGAAAGTCGGGACCGACTATGAGAACATCAATAATCTCTGTTCATGAAGGACGAGAAGCTGAGTTTAGTTATTTCTGTATCTTATAAATATGACTGATGTCTTGCAGTTTTGAATTGCACAGGTGCAGTGAATTTAAAAACTTATTGCTCTCTGTGTGTATGTCTTTATTCCAGGACCGTGTATATGTGCAACAAAATAATGTGGAGAATGTCTACAATTTGGGTTTGATTATTTTTCGAGATCAAGTGGTGCGCTATGGTTGTATCAGGGATCACCTGCGACAAACGCTGCTGGATATGATTGCAAGAGAAAGGAAAGGAGAAGTTGTAGACAGGTAAGATGCTTGTAAGTGGCTGTGGATATGTTTCTATCAGTTTTTAAGAGTGAATCAAGAACATGAACAAATCATCACTTCAATCTATGTATGTTCACAAGTAAACTAGTGCATGATGCTCTGGGAAAAGTTTCATGTATGTTTAATTATTTAATATAATAATATGCAAGCTCCTTTTTTAATACTTATCTTTTTGTTATTAGCTTTTGTTAAATAACTGTTGCCTTGCATCAGAGCATTTTCTTACAAAGCGGAGATGTGGATAAGTGCCCCTATTGCCTTTATTCCTGTCTGCTGTGGGGTTGTTTAATTTTCTTGTAATCTGTTTATTGGATTTTGAAGAATTTTTCTGCTTATTCCTAGTGGTTTAATTCTTTACTTATTAGTAGTTCATTTGTATCTGTGAGCCTTGAAGTCCTTGTATTCTCTTGCTGTATTTGTAGATCAGTAGTAGTGGCCATGCACTTCAGATGCTGCAGCTGAAGTAACTTGAAATTTGCAGGGGTTTTTTTGTGCTTCTCCAGTTTCAGAGCAGCTGCTGGGTGTGGAGATGTGTAAACTTCATGCTACTTTGGCTCCAGTTCTGTGACTGAGATTGCCCAACATGCAGCTTATGAAGAAAAAATACTTCCTGGCAACAGCTGCATGTTGTCCTCTGCTGCCAGAAAGTGGAATTTTTTTCTGGTTGCAATTATTTTTTATTTATTTATTTCATTTTATTGATGTATTTGTGTGCTTAACCATATGCCTTACTTGCAAATACACTCTCATTTGTTTAAAAGAAAAGTACTCTGCACTGCAACTTCACCCATGCATTTTTTTTTCTTTTTGAATTGTGGAGTTCTCCCCTACACTTGCAGTTCTCAGTTTGCTTTGTGAAACCTTTTTTTTTCACCCCTGTTTTTAGTTATTTTCTTGTATGGCAAAATATACTCATGTTACGCGAAATATGCTCATGTTAGGCAAAATATACTCATGTTAATCGATTTCAGAGTTAGTAGGACTTGTTTATTAAATATTTTTAAATAGTGATGTAGGTCATACATTGTAAGTGCCTTGGTTTAGAATAGAAATTAAAAAAAATTGTATTGTAATCCCCTGAAAAAACTGTAATAGATCACAGATTTAAGTTTTTATTACAATACTGTATAATAAGTTGGTATTCTGTTCTGAGCTTTGTTATTCTATTTTGTAGTCTCTCTTACAAGCATGTAGATTTCTCAAGTTGTTAAAAACTTACTTTTTGGCAGAGGCGCAATAAGAAATGCTTGCCAGATGTTAATGATTCTAGGTCTTGAAGGAAGGTCAGTCTATGAAGAAGACTTCGAAGCTCCATTTTTGGAGATGTCTGCAGAATTTTTTCAGGTACAGCAGCATGATATCGTAATTTTATAGTTGCTTACAAAATGTGAGAATTGGTGGTGTTTTAAGCAACCGCTACTTATTTGTCGTGTGTGTGCTTAAATGAACTAACAGAATATTTAACTAGAAGATTTGTGATGTAAATGATGATTAGATATAAAGTTGTCATTGTGCCAGTCTCGTGCCAATTTCCTGCCGTTTGGTGTATCCCTGCACTGCAAGCACAAACTCCAGTTCTAAAAGGATTTTTTGATGCCACTGCCATGAAAGACTCAAATGGCTGCAGGTTGGGCATGGAACGGGGAGGCTGCTTGGGAAACTGCCTGTGGGGAAGCTGTGTTCACTTTGTAGTTTCTACATTTGTAGGTTATATAGCCTGTGTTAAATGCTTTATAAAATGAACAAAGTCAAGGAATTAAAGTCTATGCAAGTGGCTATCCAAATGCTGAAGAAACACTGAGTAATAATTTCAAAAGGTTTCCTGATCTTTTTGGTAATAGTTTCAGGGAAAATGTCAGATGAATAGATTTTCAGTTAATTCTGCTGTTCTGTTTGTATACAGGAATTGATAGAAGTTCAAAGAGCATGTTAAAAAGGATTTAAATTGCATAGGTTATCAATTTCACAAGTCAAATACAGGATGAACTGTTTCTCTAATCTGTAAATTTGCTTGTAAATCAGAAGTGTATGTTGCCCAACTTTTAAAAGTTATTGCATTCTGCTTTTTATTCAGTGCAATGCAAAAATAAAAATTAATGCAAAATTAAAAAGTGTGGTAGGAAATAATATATTCAGCATTGTCACTAGCTAGAATAATAAGAAACGTTGATCTTCACAACTCATAAATACACTATAAACTGGTATTCAGAAGGAATTTTTTCCTCTTCCTTCTCCCAGTCCTTCTGTTTTCTTTGATTCATGTGTCTCTAGCTCCTATTGGTAACTGGAAAATAGGGTGTTTAGAATTGTTTTGGTATGAAAAGATCCAATGTTCCTGCTACATGTATCCTCTTACACACAACTTAGTCATTGCATTAAGTGCAATAGAACTGTATTTTGTGTCAAGCTTATATGCAGGCCTTTGAAATACAGTGTTATGAATTGTTGGACATACTGAATTTGTTTTGGACTTGCTTATGAATGCATTTCCTTTTCCCTTTAATCTAAAATATTAATTTGTATTAATTTTGTGTTAATCACAGATGGAAAGTCAGAAATTTTTAGCTGAAAACAGTGCTTCTGTATATATAAAGAAAGTAGAAGCTAGAATTAATGAAGAAATAGAACGGGTGATGCACTGTCTGGATAAATCAACAGAAGAACCAATTGTGAAAGTTGTTGAGAGGGAGCTTATTTCCAAACATATGAAAACTATAGTGGAAATGGAGAACTCTGGCCTAGTTCATATGCTGAAAAATGGGAAGACAGAAGGTAAGAGTGGATTCTATGGGAGACAAAAATGCTTACGATACAGTTTGTTGCTTTTGAATATGAAATTAACTGAACCTAACACTTAGGTTTCTCTGTAATTTTTTGCAATCATCTGAGAATGTCACCTGAGGGACCGTTAGAGAGATCTTAACATAAAACCAGTCTGTGTAGCGTGTTTGTGGTTAGTACCAGGCACAGGTACCTTCCTTTGGCAACCAAGTATCTTTAAGAAAGGTACTTGTCTGTTACACTCCCTTTGCTGTTTCCATGAGCCCTTGTCTTGCTTTCATTTTTTCCATCCTGGGCCTTCCAGAGGCATCAGGAAGCTCCTCGGCCCACGAGCTGCTGGCTGGAAACTGCTGCAGTCAGTGACTCAACAGTAGTATTGCAGGGCCACCTCTTGTAGGGGGAGGCTTTGTAGCAGCAAAAAACAGTTTCTAAAGACAGATATTCTGAGTGGTTGAAAAAGAGGGGTTTGCCTGAGTTTGGTTTTCTTAGTAGGTGGAGATTAGTGAGACAGAAGATGACAAAAGATATTATAGATAATGAAGAGCGTGGTCGTAGTATCTGTATTTAGAACACTGCTCATACTAGAGCAGTGAGAATGGGAACACATTTGCTGTTCAATTTGATGTTTTTTTTTTTCCTTAAGGCAGCTTCACAATTCATAGGTGCTAGTCAGAATAACAAAGCAGCCAGCGTCTTAGCTGTGAGAATAGAGGGAGTTTCTGTATTGAAAGGGAAAGTGATGTTACTTTGATATATGTTTTTTTAAACTTTAACACACTTTTTTAATTCTTAATACACTAATACTTTAATTCTTTAATAATAATAAAAGGTAAAACAGGCTTCAGGGTGAAATGATGAAGGTATGGCAGAGTACTTGTAGAAGATACAAGAATTAATCTAAGTTTTGTTGGCATTGGTTTGGTTTAGATGGAGAACGATTGTAAAGATGGGATTTTACAGAAGAGAAATGAACAGGGATCAGGTGCTGTTTTGGAAAGTCATATTTAAGCTAAACCACTCCTCAAGATTTTAGATGGATGGCACAAAGTAGTGTGAAATACTGTTTCTTCAAAACATGTATGAATTAAACTCAGATTGTACTGGGTTTTGCTTTTAAAACAAGCAAATATTTTATTAGCATTTTCATGCTTTTGGTTTTAACTTGACCTTTTTTTCATAACTTTCAACAAAAAGTATCTGATTTTGTGGATTGTGACTTTGAAAATGATGCCATGAAATACCACTGAAAACAAAGTCTTGCTGAACACTTAAATGCACCATCCTTCAGGCCAGATGCATCCTTCAGGGCAGCTTTTGCTGGCCTTTGATGAGGAGGACAGCCCCACATAGAAGAACTGAATACAACCTTTGTTTTTAATTTCCTCTGGTTGCTGCGGTTCCTGTGTTTTCAGGGGTCAAGGAAAGGAAACATCATTGGAAGATTCTGGTGCCAAAGCTGTTTGGGAGTGCTTTGGGGGTCTTGAGTGTTTGAACTTACCTTCTCTTGTCTCTTGCTGTAACAGCACAGTTGAAGTACAGCACACAGAGGTGTCCTGCATATTTCACTCTTTTTCTTTTTTTGTGTGTGTTTGCAGACCTTGCTTGCATGTACAAGCTGTTCAGCCGTGTGCCAAATGGTCTGAAGACGATGTGCGAGTGCATGAGCTCATACCTAAGGGAGCAGGGCAAAGCACTAGTATCTGAAGAGGGAGAAGGAAAGAATCCAGTTGACTACATTCAGGTAGTTAAATGTTTTAATTTTCTCCTATCTTTCTCATATTTTCCGGAACAGTGGTTAACTACATGACTAATTGAAGGTAAACCTTTAAATTTATATATTAAAAATATATATATCATTAGTAAGCTAGACTTAGAATTTATAGTCTTGGTAAATTCTACATTCCTGGAGTTTTCAGAGAAGTTAGAATTATTTATATACAGAAGTTGCTTGGAAAGTGCCTGCTTTTTTTGGTGCCTTTGGTAGCTACTTTTATTAAACAAAACATTCAGGCTGATTATATAAATGCTTGGGAAATTTTTGGTTTATTCTAAGTGATATTTGCCTCCTGCTTGAGTTGTGTGTCTGTTGGCAAGCACCTTTACAGCATCTGTTTTGTTTTATGTTATATTAGCTATTGATTGTTGAGACAAAAATTGTGTGCCAGTATTTCATAGCAGGATTAACTATGAGTGATAGGTAAATATGTTGTAAATCATAACAGATTTCTCTTTCCATTCTCACTCTTCCTGAGAAACAGAACGCTTTGCATTTTAAAAGATGTAAGTGTTCTGTCTTGCTTTTCATCTCTTTCTCTAAGTGGTGGTGCGTAGCATTAATTTATGAAGATCACAAACTGTGTTTCAAGTCTGTCATATTTCCACTCCTCCCATTTCTTTGAGAAGATGGTTTTAAACTTGCACTGAAACTCTTTAGAGCTTATTGAACATTAAGAGTGTGTGTGTGTGTATATATTTATAGCTGGAAAATGTTTGGATTTTTTTTTTGCTAACTATATTTTTACTTAATGTAAAAATATTCATTAAATAACCAATTTTAATGCATATATGCGGTGTTTATGTTAGGTCTTTCTGAGAAGTACTTAATGTATCGTTCCTGTTATCACTGTTCGATTTGAAATCAGTAGTTTTGCTAGAGCTGGTTACTATTTCAAGAAGCCATTTGAGTATAGAAACACTTTTGATTGGAGTATTAGTTGTCTGGCAATGCTGAAGCAAGCTTCTTACTGAGCTTTGACAAGAATCACCTCGCCAAGGATTGTTAAAGAGAAGAATGAATGCCCACTGATTTATTGATTTTGGGGGAAAGTTGAATGAGTAAGGGCTGCTTATGCTTTTTGCGGTGTGATTTAAAGAACAAAAAAAAAGATGCTGTGGAAAATTAATTGTCTGAATTACTTTGAAGTAATTTTCATTCCTTTTAAATCCTGATGAACCTAAAGGGATATCTTGATGAGCTCAACTGAGTAAGAATTAAAAGCTTAATTATAAAGATACTATTGATGTTTCCTGCCACAAAGACAAAAAGATTAGAGCAATGAAGCTGAAGAGGACCTAAAACTGTATTGCATATGCTTGATCACGGAGATCATCCTCAGCTAATCAGTGTGCACCCAGCCAGCTCAGGAGGATGCCCGAGAGAAGGGATTGCTGTTTGGTTACCACTAAACCCCCAAGCAGGTTTACTCTCCCCCCCCATTGACATGATGGAAGAAGAGAAAAATAACTCATAAACTGAGAAACAGCTCACTCTTCTCGTTGCCTCTCAGCCATGTTCTCCTGAATCTTTAAAGGGCTGAAGTAAGAAGGCATACAAGGAAGCTACATTATACCAGGAAGAAAAAGCATCACAGTAGTCCAGCACTGCTTCTGCAACACGACATCACCAAACTCTCAGCATCATTGGTGAGATGATTGCAAAAGCATTGCCAGGGGGTTAGATTTAAAACTTGTTGGAAGTATTTGAAAGGATGCTGAGATGCTGTTGTAATTTAAGGTACTAACAGTTTATCCTCTTTGACACCAGGTTGTTCAGATCGTGTACTCCTGGAGAGGAGACATTAGCTAACCTTGGTGAACAGAGATAGTGGGATTTAATTTGAGTTTAAAATTTCTAATACGCATTATTTAGCCTCTCTAAAGACCATTCCTTTAAGTGAGATGGTGTGTTCTTCAGAAACGTTATTACTTCCTTGAGTATACTCTTGAATGGCTTCTTTAAGTAACCATGCTTAAATATTTCCTTCAGAAACCTAGGACTTCAAGACCACTGAAGCTAAACGGTTTGTGTGGGCAGTAGCTACCTGTGATAAACTAAAGTTTACCTCTCAAGTGAAATCTGGTTCCTCTAAAATACTGCCTTAGTTATATCTAAACCATACATGTATCTCATACTTGGAAGGTGCTCAGATGATATTAAGATATTTTTCCCTCTCTATACCCAGTTGTTTTGTCCCTTGGGTAAAGATGGTACAAAGTCTAAAAATGAATGTGATAGTTTCTAATCTGAGGTTTGGTTCAAAGGATGTGGTTCAGTCCGAGCCTGTGGACTTTGCACTGCGACAACTGGAGAACTACTGTGTGTGTGTCTAGCTCTTGTATGTTCACAGCAACTCTTTAAGATTAGCAAGAAACATATGTGACTGTGTAATGCAAAACGTGTCCCTGAATAGAAACTACAGGGAGGAAAAGCTAATAAGATTTTTCCTGTTTTTGTGATGTGTTTTTTCCCTTCAAGCTTTCTTAGTAATTGCAGGGATACAGATAGTGGGTGCCTAGCCTCATCTAAAAAGATAGGTAAGGATAGGAAAACCTATCCTGAAAATCAGGATATTAGCTTACTTTAAAAAAGGAAAGGCATAGAAAGCACAACAAACAACTCCTTGAACTTAGGAACTTAAAATACATTAAAGCAACCTGCTTAACAAAGGTGATTAAATTCTTAATCTTTATTGAGTAGCCTATTACACTCAATTGCATTAGAGTTTGAGACCAATGTTTTAGCTAGTTTATGTGAAAATTGCTTCCATAAGGAATGTTTATGGCAAATATAGACCTTTAAAAATGGAAATGAAATTTCTGATGCTTGTTAACAATGTGGAATGCAGAGATCATTGCAGAAACTCTGGCTGTAGATGTGATCTTCTCTTCAATGACTTTGTCTTTTGTTACTGTTTTGCAGTTAATTCTTTTAAATCAGCGACAATGTTTGTACTTTTTCTTTAAAGGGTTTACTGGATTTGAAGAGTAGGTTCGATCGCTTTCTTCAAGAATCTTTCAATAATGACCGACTCTTCAAACAAACTATTGCGGGTGACTTCGAGTATTTCCTCAACCTCAACTCTAGGTCTCCAGAGTACCTCTCGTTATTTATTGATGATAAGCTGAAAAAAGGAGTCAAGGGAGTAAGTACAAGTTAAATTAAGAGATTATCCTTTTTATTTATTTATTTTTTAGGCAAACTTGTGTCAGTTTAAGCCAAACTGCTTTTCCAAAAATGATTTATATTACAGTAAAAGCAGCATTGCCTTAAAAAAGGGAGAAAAAAAAAAGAAAAAGAAAAAAAAAACAGTTGTATAACATAGCTGGGCACATAACACTCACATAACTACTCTGTGAGTAGTTACTCAGAGAAATACGAGGCACGAAAGGAACTCAGTATGTTGTGAAGCCTGTCCCCCGTTGCTGAAGCAGTATGCAGCTGGATTACCTTTAGCAGATACCTACCCTTTTGGGGAAAAAAGAGATTCAAGAAGGTTGTGCAGCCACCTCTCTTGGAAACCTATTCTACTGCTTTAGAATCTGTATAGTTTGGTAGCTATTCTCAATATCCAGTAATTTCTTCTGTAAATTAAATTTGAATGGGGAAAATATTTTGTTCCTTTTTATTTTATTTATACATTAATATATTAAACTAGTGTTAGTCATGTGCCTCTCCTCTAGCTTAAATAATCTTGTTTCTTTCAGACTTTCCTCATAGCTTTTATAAAATTTTCAGCGCATAGAACCTTGAACAGTATTTGGCTGAGACTTCAATGGGCCTGAATGAAGCAGGATAATACTGAGTACATCTTATGCTTAGGAAATCAAATTATAAAGTCTAGTTATTTATAAATAAGAATTATTCTCCTGAATATTTGCATTAAATGTTAGATGTAGCCTGTTGGTAATATATTTATTTGTTGTAGTGTTGGATAGGCTTTGCAAAACGATTCTTGAAATGTAGTTGTCACTAACTTTTCATACACCTAATAATTTTTTTTAAACTGTGCCTTTTTTCTTCTTCTTTTTGATATATTAAAGAGCATGTTTATCCAGGTACTTCTGTTGTCCTTTTTATCCATGCATTCTATCCATCTGAACATCATTTTCCCACTACCCTTCCCTGTTTATTTAATTCCTCAATTTTAGCTCTGTTGTTTTCTCCCCTCTGTTGAGTTTGTGCACTTAGGCTCTCTTATTCACGTCGGGCCAGTTTTGTCAGGATCTCCATAGGATACTGTTCAACCATATGTTTGCTCTTGATTACTTGAAGTAGCTAAGGTGCCTAGAACACTTGGACTGGAAGATTAAAAAAAGCATTTTTTTTTTCTTTTACAGTTAACAGAGCAAGAAGTAGAAACTATATTGGATAAGGCAATGGTTTTATTCAGGTTTATGCAAGAGAAGGATGTCTTTGAACGCTATTATAAGCAGCACTTGGCAAGAAGGCTTCTTACAAACAAGAGTGTTTCAGATGACTCTGAGAAAAATATGATATCTAAATTAAAGGTAAGACTATTTGCATATTTTAACTTCATTTTTCATACGTACAGTTTCTTTTTATTTATTAAGTGATACATAGATAACGTACGTATTGACTGGTGTCAGATACAGATTTGATTTTAATGTATCAGCAGTAACAGAAAATAGGAATAGCTTTTCTATGAAAGGTTGTGGAAATAAAGGAAAGCGCATACTAGAAAACAGAACTTACTTTCCAAAATCTGTTAAGAATTTACCAGTAAGAGGACAGCAACTTCTGTGTGGAGGCTTGCTGGCCTGACTCTGCTGTTGCTCGCCATGCCGGTTTGCTTTCGTAACGCGGGCGCAACGCTCTTGTGTTTCAGACCGAGTGCGGGTGCCAGTTCACGTCCAAGCTGGAAGGCATGTTCAGGGACATGAGCATCTCCAACACGACGATGGACGAGTTCAGGCAGCACCTGCAGGCCACGGGGGTGAGTGCGCGGCGCGGCTCCGGCAGGCTCCGCTCCCGCGGCTCCGGCGGCGACGCTGCTCCCTGGCAGGTGCCGTTCATGGCCCTGCGATCGGAAACAGGGAATGGAAGGAGCCCGGCTGGGGCTGCTGCCCTGGCACGGCCGGCAGAGGGCGGGCGCCGGCCACCCGGCCCCGTCCTGCAGCCACCGCGGCACGTGGGGAGCAGGTTGTCCCCATCACAACCGCCCGCCTGCACCTTCCTCCCTCTAAGGGAGAAACACACATGCTATGAGCGCGTTGCAGAGGTGCCCTCTTACACGTAGCTTGTCAGCCCCTGCTCTGCGTCGTGCTGCTGTGTTCACGTTGCTCGTGGAGAGCCAAGCGCTCCGTCCTGAGACGTTACAGCCACTGACCCAGGCTGCTCAGGTAGCTCTGGAGCTCGTTGCTTGTGGTGAGAGGGGCCCTCTGGCATAGAGAGTTGGAGTTCATAAGAAATTGGATATACTAAGTATTTGTGTGTGTTTGCTGCTGTTTTTTTTGTTGTTGTTGTTCATAATGTGTATTCTTTGAATGTGTTAGACCTTCTAGAGCTGAAAATACTCAGTGACAAGTCAACTATTACCAAGTTCAATTAGAATACCTAGTGAGGCTCAAGGCTTTTGTGGTAGCTAGATGTTCATCACCTGCTAATAGCACTGCTGTCCAGACCCAGACATCACCTGTGGGATGTTCTCCAACCCATGCAGAGCACTTGGGCCTGGGAGAGAAAGTCCAGGAAATGGCAGGAATAGCCCCTGTCGTTTAACATTGCGTTTCTGGGGCTTCTTGCCTGCTGCAGCAGACAAAATTTAAACAGTTACTTTGGAACTTGCACATTTAGCAACCCAGCTCTATTGCATGGAGTCAAGGAGTAAAAAAAGCTGTAATGGATTTTGGTTTTCATCACAATATTTCACTCTTGGCTAGAACTTTTTGTTAAACTCTGTACACTCTTAAATGCTGTTGTAGAATGGTGTGGGGGATTTTTGCTATATCATCTATTTTTTTGTCATCTATCTGATATTGATGACTTCATTATTTGTCCAAGTTTGGAAAAACAGTATTTATTTATTATTTCCTTATTTTGTGGAAACTCTAAATACCCTCAATTAATGCAGGAGGACATTGAAACATGAACCTGTTTTAAATTTGTGGATGTTGTTTTTCCCCAATTCTCTGTAGGTCTCGTTAGGTGGTGTTGATCTCACAGTGCGGGTTCTCACAACAGGTTACTGGCCTACTCAGTCAGCCACACCAAAGTGCAACATCCCTCCAGCTCCTAGACATGCTTTTGAAATATTTAGAAGGTATGTATTAAAGAAGGCCTTTCACTAAAGAGTTTTGGAGAAAATTTACATATTTTAAGACACAGATATGTTTTGCCGAGAGTTAAAGACATGCTAGAATACTGGTTTATATTAATTCCAGTAAAAATGAGAGAATGCAATATTCACATTTTGAAGCTTGGAGTTTTTAATTAGAGTTCTTGCAAGATTTAAAAGCAGCAGTTAGAAGTTTCTTGCAGTATCCTTTAGCTACAAAATTCCATGTAGCTATCTAAAGCACTTTCTTGGTAGATACTAAATGTAAAAAATGCATTGGACTGTTTTGATTATATTGCAGATTTTACCTAGCCAAACACAGTGGGCGGCAGCTGACACTCCAGCATCATATGGGTTCTGCAGATCTCAATGCCACTTTCTATGGGCCTGTTAAAAAGGTAAAGTGTCAGTATTATGAAAATACTGTGCCTTAAACAGTTCTTAAAATGTCAGTGACTGCCGATTGGTACTAACTTCAGAATTTTGGAAAATGTAAGTTTAAGTTTGTTACCTAATTATACAGGAAAAAGAAACCATCACCTTTATTAAACTGATTATGCCATTGTAGCAGTTTAGTTTTCCGTAAGCATTTTCTCTAAATCTGATTTGAATATATCACTCAACATCTACCTGGTCTATTACATCACAGGAAAGGAGTAATTTTTATCTCTTAAGTAACTTCCAAATCTGTCAAAAGTGAAATTAAGTATATTTCTCTTCAGAGTTATTTTGGTTTAGTTAGTAGGAAAAAATGTTCTTAGTCTACATTTATTCTGCTTTCTTATGACGAGTGCAAGCAATGTATACAACCTTTTTCCAAACATGAGAATAGTTTATTGAAATATTGTTATATTTATATATACAAGAAAATGAGCTGCTGCTGGTGATTTAGACCAATAAGCTAGAGATAGTAACAGCATAAGGCTCTGAAACAAAGAAGGCAAGGCAAATCCAAATGCAAAATT